AAAAAGCAAAACAAAAAAAACGAAGGAAAGAAAAAAAAAACGGTAGGAGGGGGCGGGAGAAAAAAAAAAGGAAAGAAGCGCGGGGAGGGGAGGCCGCACCGTGCCGGCCCCGCCCCTCCTGCCCCTTGCCGCTTTTTCTCCCCCGCTCCGCCGCCCGTGCAGCCGGTGGTGTTCCTCGTCTTTTGCCCTCCCCACTTCGTGTTCCACCGCCGTTTCTTTCATCCCGTTCCACTTTGCTTCTTTTCTTTCTTTCACGCTCCCGCTCTCTCTCTCTTTCCCACTCTGTGCGTCTGTCCTTTTTTTTGTCGGCTTTATTCCTCCCCCCCCTCCCCCTCCTTTTTTTGTGCGTTCGCCGCCGCCGCCGCCGCCCCTTAACGGCGGTCCACAACCTCCAGCTTGTCCAGCACCGTCTGGTGCACGGAGCGGACCTGCGAGCCCACGACCATCTGCTCCGCAACGGAGTCTATCTTGGCGCGCTGCTTCGTCTCGCTGATGAGGCTGGCGAGCCACACCTCCGCATCGGCGGTGCTCATGCCTAGCTTCTCCGCCACGTACGGGATGGACACGACGCAGTGGGTCATCATGTAGCGGGCAAAGATGAGGCGCCGCGCGTTCTCCACAATGTCGTGCGCGTGCAGGCTGAGGAAGTAGTCGCCCAGCGCCGTCGCGCGCACCTCCGGCAGCAGCGCCAGTGCGTCCTCAAAGGACTGCCGGTTGAGAATCGCGTGGACGAGCTGCGTGATGGGGTCGGAGTACTCGTAGATGCTTGCCACCATCGCCGCGGCGCTTCGCAGGGCCGAGCGGCGCTGCTTGTTGAGAATGGCGGCGGCGCAGATGTAGCGCAGGTAGTGCGGGCACACTGTCTCCACCACGCTCTGATACACAAAGTTTGTCTTGAAGTCAAAGACAAAGTTCAACAGGTGCGTGGAATACTGGTTGCCGCCCTTAAAGAAGGGAAAGAGCACCCAGTGCAGCAGCCAGGCCCGCTCCCGCGTGGTCGTTGTGTTGGCGACGCGAAAAATATCCTCCTCAAAGACGTCGGCGTTTTGCTGCCGCCGCAGCTTCTCCGCCACCGCAATGGCCGAGGGCCAGTTGCAGGTGCACATGTCACTCACCAGCTTGCCCCAGAGCAGGGTGTGCTGGTCCAGCTCGTAGCCCACCACGCACTGGCAGAGGGAGAGCAGCTCGGAGGCGTCGGTGTAGCGCGCGGCGTCGTAGTAGAGGTACGCTAACTCCATCACCGCCGTCATGACGCCGCGGGTGATGCCCTTGGACTCCAGCACGTCGCGGGAGAGCTCACGGTTGCTACGCAGCGCATCAATCTCGCTTGCGGTCAGCTTAAACTGATACGTGCTGTTCTCCGTCTCACTCCTCTCAAAGAACTCGTCAAGCGCCGGTCGGGCGCGCTGGGCGGTCTCCTTTATTTTGCGTTCCTGCTCCGCCGACACCTCGCCCTCGGCGGTGAGCGCCGTCGTCGCCTGCACGGCGCGGAGGGCGTCGGCCACGTCGAACCCCTGCTCGTCGTAGAAGTAGAGCAGGCCCAGCGCCAGGTGCTTGTCAAGGTGTGGCAGCAGACACCGCAGCATCTCCGTCATTGTCCCTCGCCCTCTCTCGCCCTTTTTGTGCGTGTGTCGCTCAGACAGACTTATTTCCTGCAGGGGATATATATATATATGTCCTCGGATGGAGGCACGCACACGCGCGTGGATACGCAGCGGGTTTGCACAGACAGCGAGACAAGCGAAAAAGACAAAGACGCACATCGAAGCTCGAGAGGCGGCACGGCAGATTGGGGTGGGGCGGGCGAGGCTGCGTGCGTGCGTGGACGCTGCCCCCCCCCCCCCCCGCGCAGTCACGGCGGATGCGGAGGTGCAGGCCTCCCTCGCCGCCCAGGGGGGCGTGGAGCTCAGAGTGCAAGAGAAATGCCAGAAACAACAACAACCACAAAAACAACAACCACAACAAAGCGCCTCTATAAATGTAAAGAACAACTACAGGAAAACACAGTAGGAACCAACGACAGAAACAAACAACACAAGCAACAAAGACCACGATGACGCAGAAAAAAAAGAAGAGAATAATAGCCCTGGAAGCTATAAGCGTCTATGACGAATGTGCCTCAGATACGTACATGCAGGGATATATGCATATGTACATGTATGTATATATCTTTCACTCTGACCCTCGTCTGCTTAGGAACGAATGAGCTCGAGTAGGTCACCGTAGATGTTCTCACAGTAGTTGTTCTCTGCCGCAATCTCCAGCAGCATGTCATGTAACTTCAGCTTGTCCTCCACCGCGGCCTGCTGCTGCCGCAGACTGCGCAGCTGATGCACCTTGCGGTCCAGCTCATTCATGAGGTTGCGCATGCGCCGGCTGAGCTCCACCGTGTCCGCGCAGGGGTCACTCAGCGCCGCATTGCAGTCCTGGTACTCCCGCCGCATCGCGAGGGTCTCGCGAAGCAGCGAACGACACACCGCCGCGAGGTGACGTCCACTTCTCGTCCCAGCATGACTCAAGGACTCTGAGGTGGCGTTGCTTTCCTCTACGTGACGCATCGGCGTGGAGGGCAACGAGGACGTCGGCGCCGTTTTCTCCCTCGCCAGAAACGTCATTGACGGCGAGCACGAGCGCAGAAGCGGCATCGGCTTGAGCTCCCCGGGAGTGTCCATGCCGCAGCGTGGCGGGCTCTCTAGTCGTCGATCCATCGGGGACGTAATGCCACGGCGCCGGTAGTACAGCCGAGGCTTGTAGTAGTTCTGCCGCTCCACCGTCGACACAATCGCCGCGATGTGGTGCGAGGCGGGGGCGGTGCTGTGGCACTGGTCGGGCAGCCCGGCGGGGAGAAACGCCTTCTCCAGGCCGCAGCTCAGGCCCTGCCTCCGGCTGTGCCGCTCCTGCCGCCGGGCCGCCGCCGCCGCGCGTGCGCGCTGCTGCTCTGCCTCACACCGAAGCTGCTGCAGTTCCTCGTTGAGCACCCGCTGCCGCCCCAACACCTCGCGCAGCTGCATCTCGTGCCACGCCTTCTTCTGCTGCGCGAGATCGGCGTCGGTGCGGACAGCCTTGAATTGTTGCTGCAGCTCCACCAGCTCGCGCTGCAGCGCCTCCTCCCGCTCCTCCAGCTGCTGCTGCCGCGCCTGCATCTCCGCGCGACAGCTCCGCTCCCGCTGCAGCCGCAGCGACGCCAGCTGCTCGTTGGCGCTTTCGTTCTCCACCAGCAGACGCTGCAGCTCGTCGCGCAGCTGATCCTCCGCGGCGGCATGGATGGCGCGTTCCTTCTGCAGCAGCAGCGTGAGCTCCGCGCGGTGTCGCTCGAAGCTGCTGCTGGCCTTTTTCTCTAGGGCGGAGTACAACTCCGCGTCCTCCTGCACCGACTGCAACTTCTGCCGGAGATCACCCAGCGCCTCCGTCACGGAGGAGGTCGACAGATCGAAGTCCATTCGCGCCGGTCCTCCCCCCGCTACCACCACCTCGCTGGGGCCGCGCGAGGCAAAAGCAGAAATCCCCCGCACATACACACACAGAAAGAGTGAGAGAGAGAAAAGAAAAAAAAAAGGGGAGGGACAGGAAAAAAACAGATACAAACAAAGAAAAAACGGCGTATAACGTCCCCGGCATTTGTGAGCGGGTGTTGATGGGGCCCACGTGAAATGTGGTGGAGGGCAATGCAATAAAACACATCGGGAGGGTGTTGGTGGTAAAAAGGCCTTTTTTTTTCCTTTTCCTCTGCTTCGCTTCTTCCTTGCGCCCTCCCTGCAGTACGGCACCGTGTCTGCCTCCCCGCCTGCGCCCTCGTTCGGGTAGAGAAGGGCCCGCACACGCACGCTCCGTCGGCGCCCTCGTTCGTTCCTTGCAGTAAAGAAGTGGGGGAGGGGGAAACAAACAACAACGACAACAGGCAGACAAACAGACAAGCAAAAAAAAAAAACAACCGTCCGCCCATTTCCTCCACGTGGATCCTTTTTCACTCACCTCGCTTTATAAAACTTCTTCCTTAGCCTCCCTTCTTTCTTCGCTTTTTTTTTTCCTTTTTTCATTCTCTGTCGAGGTTGACTCCGTTACCTCCCTCATCGCCTTACAAGTCAGCTCTCTCTCCCTCTCTCCTTCTTCTGATGTCTACTCCCAGGGCTTCCCCGCCTGCGCGTGGGGTGGCGGGCGTCGGCCTCCCCTTCCCCCTCCCGCCCACGTCGCCTAGTCCTCATCCTCCTCCTGCTCAAGAAAGGCGCGCACGCCGTCAATGAAGCCCAGGCAGCTGAGCGCCACGCGCAGCATTCCCTCCTCGCGAGCGGCCTCCTCATCGTCCTCGGCGAGGCCCGGAGGCTCCTGCGCCAGCCTGCGCATCCGCGCCCCGAATTCCACGAGGGATTCGCCCGTGACGATGCAGTACCCACGCTCGTCGTACAGCTCGTCGTCGCAGCCGTTGTAGAGGCACTCCATCAGCTGCGGTCCGCGCAGGTGCAGGAGGCAGTTGCTGTCACCGATAGCCGTGCAGGTGGCCCGTAGGATCGCCTGCATCTCCTCGATGCCGGTCACCATCTTCATGTAGAAGGGGTGGCACCACCGCCCAAGCAGACTACTCACCGCCTCAATCGCGGCGATCGGGTCGCTGCTGTGGGCATGCGTCGCCAAGACGTGCGCCAAAAGCTGCTCTGTGACAATGAAGCAGAGATCACTATTGTTGCAGCGAAAGGACAGGCGGGTGTTCTTCATCTGCAATATGCAGTGCGACATGTGGGAGGGATCATGCAGTGCCTGACGCACGAGCTCCGCCACCGCCTCCTTGAACCCCGCCATCTTTTCGTCGTCGTCGTCATCGTCGTCGTCGTCATCGTCGGAGTCCTCGCCTGTCTCGCATGGAACCGGGTCCCGCACAAAGAGCTCCCGCGTCGGGACAATGCTGCTGACCTGCCGCAGCTGCACAGCACCACCGTCGTCCCCGTCCTTCGTCATCCCCTCCTCGCGGCGGGCGAGCCTGCCGTTGGAAATCACCCTGTCCTGCAGAACAACACCCTGCGCAGGCGAACTACCGTCTCCGACGCAGTTGCAGTGTGGGACCACACCAATGGTGGAGCCATGACCCACGATGCAGTTCGACACCTCCGCCTTGTCGTTCACGACGACGTTATAGCCAAAGAGGGAGCGACTCAAGAAGCAGCCGCGCCCGACGACCGTCCCGTCCAGAAGCACGCAGCCAATAATAGTGGACCCCTCGCCAATCCGAACGCCTTTTCCGAGAACACTTCCACGCACCACGGTGGTGGGCGATACCACGGCTTGCTCGCCAACCACAACACACGGTCCACAGGTGTTCGAGAGCACCTCCGCCTTCTTCTGGTGCAGGTAGACGCTCTGACAGTGTGGCGACACCGCGTAGCGGCATCCGTCGCCGGCGAAGCTAGACTCACGCGTGAGCGGGAAAAAGCGGCGGAAGCAGACGTCAATGTTGACTTGGATGTACGACCTAAGACTGTTGATGGGCTGAATAATGTCCATGGGCGCCGCCACGGCCTGGATGCCGAAGACGTTGCCAAACAACTCCTGACTGGCGAGGAGACTGACAAAGAAGCCGTGCTGGTCCACCGTGTGAAAGGTAAAGAGTGACAAGGCCCCTGCGGAACAAAAAAAATAACCCGTGGGCACCAGATCTGTCCGCAGAGAAAGATTTTCCTTGACGCTAAAGCACACCTTCATGGGCTCCGTCACCTCGTCTTGCTCCAGACGCACCATATTTCTCACAACCCCGGTAGACTTTTCCAATGCGAACATTGTCACGTGGCTCGGCAGGCATTCTGGAGCCATATGTGGACGTCGATCCACCGCACGAATATCCACGCCAACGAAGCTAGCTGGGTCACGCTCTAGTAGCGCGTTGCTTGTCGCCCGCTCCTGCTTATTGAGCTCCCCCACAAGCACGTCGTGGAGGGTGTCCTCCAGGAGAGGCTTTACCGACGCACAGAGCATGGTTGCCGCATAGTTTTTAATCGTCGTCGCGCGCTGCAGGTGTGTCTCGAAGAGGTCCGACAAATTTCGCATCGACGCAACCGCTTCAATCGGCACAAACAGAAACGATGAGTTCTGTTGTACGATGTTTTGCTCCAAAATCTGCGTTGTGGCGTCAAAGAGCCTCGTCATCTTACGCGTGCTCGCCACCACCTCCACCTTAAACTCCGTCCCCTTCTGCCCCGGTTCGTTGCAGGCGGTGCGGTTCCCCTGCAGGTGCTGGCACACCGGCGTCACGGACTCGCTATTGAGCAAAATGTAAATCTCACTCGCCCCGTTCCTCGCGAGGTTCTCGAGGAGGTAGTCGATGATGGGCGTGTTGCAGATCGGCAGCAGGGCGAAAGGAAGCCCCTCCGCCGGGGCGACAGGAAAGAGGGGGTGGGAGGCGGCGTCGAACACCTCGCCAACAATAACCACCACAAAGGGCGTGGTGCGGCGCTTTCGCCCCGGCTCCACCACGCTATGCGTGGCGGCGAAATCCATCACCACACCTCTTTACTATTATACCCAGATTGGGTTGCTCCCGCGTTCCCTCGATTTTTCCCTCACCTCCGCCTCCTGCTGCCGCTGCCTTCCTCCTTCTTTTCTTCCTTGTTGTTGTTTCTTCTTTGCCTTTTGCTTTTGCCTCTTCTTGTTGTCGCGGCCGTAATCTGCACCTACGAACGCCGCCCCACCCCCGGTCACGGAGACTGCAAGAAGAGAAAGGGAGGAGGATTGGGCGGCCGGCGCCGCAGCCGGAGGGCGTCAGCGCGGAGTAAGAAAAACAGACAGCACAATGTCACGCATCCACTTTTTTTTTGTTTTGGCGATAAGAAAAGAGACGGAGGTTGGCCCCGCAAGAACGGCCCAAGCAGTCACCGACCCCAGACGCCTTTAGGCCTCTTTCTCTCACCACAGGATTCACTCGTGCATGCCTTTATTGCACTCACTCACATTCCTCTTACCACGCATCCGCCCATCCACCCCATTTATTACCGCCACGTTGGTCTATGGGGATACTCCTCCACTATCTCTCTGTAGTCGGGAGTATTGACGCACTTTGTCATTCTTTCTTTCTTTGGTTCTTTCTTCTTTGTATGGTTGTTGTCTGGGTGGGAGGGCGAGGCGCTGTTCTGTACTTGTTTAATCACTGAAGTCATACGAGGAGGAGTCGCTCGACGCCGCATCATCCTCGTCCTCCTCGTCAGACAAAGAGTCTTCATCGCTGCTGCTGCTGCCGCGGCGCCGCTTCCTGGAAGCCTGCGGCTTCTGCAGCCGTGCGGGCGGCCGCTTTGCCGCTGGCGCGGGAGCCGACTTCTTCTGCTCCACGTTACTGACGCCAAGCAGCACAAGATCGTCGTCCGCGTCCTCGTCAAGCACCTTCACCTGCCGCGGTGCAACCGCCGTTGCCGCTGATGTGGCGATGGCGGCGGTGGGCCTCGCCGCCGTGCGTGTGAGGGCCTCAATGCCAAAGTCGTCGATGTCAAAGTCGTCGGTGACGATGGCCTTCGGCGCCACCTCCGTCTTGGCGCGCTTGGCGCCCGTGTCCCTCGGCCGCCGCGGCGCCCGCTTCGCCGCCGGCTTCTTCGCCCCGCCGCTCGCCCTGCCCCCGTCGCCGTCGCCGTCGCCGTCGGGCCGCCAGTCGTCGCTGGCGTCGCTCAGGAAGCCGTCGTCGTCGCTGTCGTCGTCGTCGTCGGAGCTCCGCCGCTTGCGCCGCCGCGCCGCGGGTTTGCGGCCGGGCGGTGGGTTTTTGGCGGCACCGTCCGCGTCGCCCTCCGCGCCGGCCTCCGCGCGTGCCGCGCGTCCAACTTTCTTCTCGGCCTTCACGACTTCCTTCGCGAGCGTCTGCCGCGCCTTGTCGGAGAGCAGCGGCACACGCAGCCGCCGTGGGTCGAACGGCCGCTTCTTCTCCATCTTCTTCCGCCGAATGGAGGCAATCTCCCTCATCCGGCCCTCGAATAGCTTCTCAATGCGCGGGCGTAGCTGGTTGAGGTCCGCCACCCACAAATCCTTCGGCGTTCGCTTCTCCAGCGTGGCGAGTTCGTCGCGCGCCTTCTGCAGCTGCGCCTGCAGCCGCGCAATCATCTCCGCCGTCAAGCTCCAGAGCCGCATGCCCAGCAAATAGTCGTAGTCCCGCGCGGCCTGCCGCACTTCGGGGGCCTCGCCGCCGTCCGCGTCCCCCTCCGCATCCAGCGCGGGCTGCAGCATGAGAAGGACGTCCTCGGAGGTGGCGTCCTCCGCGCCCTCTTCCTGTTGAATTGTGGTGGAGCTCATCTTCTTCTTTTGGTGCGGCGGAAACGGGGCGTAGCCGCGCTGACGCAACTCCTCCAGCAGCTCCCGCTTGCGCCGCCGCGTGACGACGAGGCGGCCGTCCACCACCTCCGTCACGAAGCGAACCATGTTCTCCAGCTTGGACGCGACGGCGCGCAGGTCACCGATCAAAAAGTCCCGCCGCTTCGCGTAGTACTCGAGGCGCACCAAATAAAACTCCTTTAACACCGCCTCCGCGTCGAAGTACTTTGTGATCTGCCCCTCCCTGTCGAAGGCGATGATGTTCGTCGCGTGGATGTACTCACGCAGCTGCAGCTTCTCCTCCACGCAGCCCTGCGCCACCCACTGCCGGAGCACCTCGGGGTGCAGAAAGACCTCGAAGTCCACCGTCACGTCGGTGTTGTGCTCGCGGTACTGCACCACCACCTCCTTCTCACGCAGCTCCTCCAGAAACTTCTTGTACGCCTGCGTCCAGGTCCCAATGGGCAGCTCGGTGATGTGCACAACGCCGTCCGGCCGCACGGTGGCACAGCCCAGGGAGACAAACTTCCCCTTTTCCCTCTCCTCAATGGTGCCGGTGAAGCCAAAGTACCACGGCTTCATCGGCCGCACCTCCTCCCCCCGCAGCAGCCGCATCAAGTTGTCGATGACGTCAAGAGGGGAGTAGTTGGGGATGTTCGTCGCAAACCCCGTCCCGATGCCGGAGGTGCCGTTCACCAGCACCATGGGGATCACCGGGACGTAGTAAAACGGCTCCACGGAGAGGCCGTCGTCGTCCTTGTAGTCGACGACAAAGTCGTCCGAGGCGTGGTAAATGCAGCGCGCCAGGTCTGTGAGGCGAGTGAAGATGTAACGCCCCGCGGCGTGGTCCTTGCCGCCCTGGAGCCTGGTACCAAACTGACCGTCCTGCTGCAGCAGTGGAACGTTGTTGGCGCCCACAAAGTCCTGGGCGAGCCCAACGATGGTCTGCACCAGCGACTGCTCCCCGTGGTGGTACGCCGCGTGCTCAGAGACGTAACCGGCGAGCTGCACCACCTTGATGGACCGGGTGAGGTTGCGCTTAAACGAGGAAAAGAGAATCTTGCGCTGGCCGGGCTTCAGGCCGTCAATCACGCTCGGGATGGAGCGCTCGCAGTCGGCCACCGAGAAGAGAATCAGCTCCTTGTCCACGAACTCCGAGTACCGCACAGTCCGGACGTTGTAGTTCATCGACTCATTCACGTTGGTGTTCGCCTTAAATTGCGTGATCCAGTGCTTGCGCTCCTCCACCTTATCCTTCGCGAAGGCCATGACAATGCGGGCCTCATCGCTCGCGTCCTCGCGCACAAAGTCGAGGCGGTGACGATCGATGTTCTCAAAGTACTCGCGTCCCTCCTTCGCGCCGGAGGTACCCAGACCCTTGTAGTACCGTATCTCGTAGTTCCTGATGCCGTCGCCAATGGCGTTCTTCCACTCAAAGTAGTCTGGCATGGAGAAGAAAGAAACGGCGCGGTCGTCGCCGTCGCCGCGTCCTTTCCTACGCGCCTTGACAATCGGCGTGATGAACTGCTGCAGAAACCCAGGCGCCTTCAGTAAACCCGGCCAGTAGTGGTGAATCATGTTGATAATGAGCCCCTTGATGTGGGAACCATCATGATCCTGGTCGGACATAATCATCAGGTGCCCGTAGCGAAGTCCCTCCACACTGTCGTGCCTTTTGGAAATATCAAGTCCCATAATCTTACTGATCGCCTGAAACTCCGCACACGCCATGACTTTCTTCAGTGTGGCGTCACGCACGTTGAGGGGTTTCCCACGCAACGGAAAGACGCCAAAGTAGTCGCGGTCCTTGACGGCGAGTCCGGCCGTGCAAAGCGCCTTGGCAGAGTCGCCCTCGGTGAGGATGAGGGTGCAACGGTGGCCGTGCTTTCCGCCCGCCTCATTGGCGTCGTCCAGCTTGGGAATGCCCAGGATCTGCTTGCGGTCGGCGTTGCGCAGCTTAGAGGATATTTCACGCGTCAGCTTGCTGTTCGCCATCTCCACCGCCCGCTCCACCACACTCGACTTCAGGATGCAGTCAATCATGGAGGGGGGGAGTTCGCAGGTGGAGCCAAAGCGGGCCCGAGGGGTGTTCAGCGTCTCCTTCGTCTGCGAGTCAAAGCCGGGGTTCTCCACGAGGCAGTTGATAAAGACGAAGAGGTGGGGCCGAATCATGTGCGGCTTCACCTCCGTCTTGCTCTTGCGCTTCGCCTGCTCCGTCACCTTCGCAATGACTTGGTCGGTGATATACCGCACGTGGGTGCCGCCCCGCGTGGTGGCGATGGAGTTGACGAAGCTCACCTGCTGGAAGCCGATGTTTGACACCCGCACGCACACCTCCCAGCGGTCATTCACGCGGGCGTAGCTCGCCGTCTTCCGCTCCTCGCCCATCATGGGGTAGAGGTCGACGTACTCGAGAAAGGAGGAGCAGGCTATCTTCGTGTCGTTGAGGTAGCAGCGCAGCGACTTGTCTGTGCAGCCCGCCACGTCGTAGACGCGGCGCCGCATCATGTGCACCATGTCCTCGCCGAAGCCCTGCAGGTTGAACTTCGCGAAGTCGGGGTAGAAGGTCACGACGGTGTAGTCCGCCCCGTCGCACGCGGTGATGACGGGCTCCTCCGACTCCAGCATGTTGTTCCGCCACCGCATGAAGAACTTCTTGCGGGAGCGGCTGTGCACCGTCTCCACCTCAAAGCGGGAGGAAAAGACGTTGGTGAGCTTCGCCCCAAAGCCGTTGCGACCCCCGGTGACCTTCGCCTCGCTGTCGTCGTAGTTGGAGGACGTCAGCAGGTAGCCGAAAATCATCTCCGGCACCCACAAGTTGTGCTCGCGGTGCCGCTGCACAGGGATGCCCTCGCCGTTGTTGTACACCCGCACCATCCCCCGCTCGGCGTCTATCCAGACCTTAATCACCGTCTGACCGAGCGGGTCCCGCACCTTGTTGTCGGCGGCATTGACGAGAATCTCGTCAAAGATTTTGTAGAGCCCGGGCGTCCAGGTGCACTTTCGCAGCTTCATGACGCTCTCCGCCTCGTCGTAGATCCACATGTCATCGGTGACGGGCTCAATTGTGCCAATGTACATGTCAGGACGGGCCAAGATGTGCTCATGCTGCGTCTTCTTTTGGTAAATCTCCTCCACAGTCCGGTTCGTCATGTCTCGGTTTGATTGAATGCTTACTTGTCTTTCTCTCACTCCTTGTGTGTGTGTGTGTGTCTGTATGCTTGCCCCACCGCCTGCGAACGCTGGTGTCGCTGACGCGCGTGCAGGCAAGAGAAAGGCGCAGATACAAACAAAAACTACGGCGTACCTGCCGCCGCGCGGAAGCACCTCTTCCGTAGTTATATGCGTATATATAAATATAAATATATATATATTTAAGTGTGTGCGTGTGGTTATTCTACTGTTAGTGCGGGCCCGCCCTTCTTCTGCCTCCCGGCGTCCTTGGTGCTTCGCTGCTGTGCCAGAAGAAGCAGTGCGGAGGGCGGAGGGGAGAGAGGGTGGACGCCGCGTTTGTTGTGTTGTGTCAGGCCTCACACCGAGCACGGCAGGCCAACCAGAAGAAGAGATGGAAGGAAAAAGGAGGAGGAAAAAAA